TTTTGTTGACCTTTGTCCATGGAAGGTCCCTGCAAAATTTCATTGAAATTGGTTCAGGGGTTTTGGAGAAGAAGTCGAAAATGTAAATTGTTTACGGACGCACGACGGACGACGACGGACAAAAGGCGATCGCAATAGGTCACTTGAGACTTTGTCTCAGGTGACCTAAAAAAGACAGGAGTTAAAACAACAGTTTTAAAAGACATGAGCTCAAACAATTTACGCAACGGAAGTGAAAAGTGTTTTTAACAAGTATTTTAACATATTCAAATGCGCCATAAGAAGCTCACAGCTTTCAATCGGCGTCATCGCTATATGAACTATATGAACTATATGAACACAATTTGACATGAGCTCAAATAACATATCACAAACAGACAAAGTAAGTAAATTTAAACACATTTCAAATACAAATGAGCTCAAACAACACACTTCAAATGAGCTCAAACAACACATTTCATATAGACATATAAGTCTGAACAACAGACACGTTAAATAGACATGAGCTTAGCCTAGATAAAAGCACACATTTCATATAGACATAAACGTCTGAACAACAGACACGTTAAATAGACATGAGTTCCAACAGCAGAGGGTGGTTCTTGATCACAGGCCACTCCAGCTTGAGGCTCTGAGAGACCCTGGTGTTGATTTCTGTTAGACATCGTATTGCTGCCAGACGGTCGAAGATCTTGGAGAGGAAATGCTCCTGGGGGTGATGGGTCTTTTCTATAAGGTACTTGAGGCACATTATCATCCTCCACTGGATCATCTCCACTTTGTCTGGATCTCCCAAGTTACAGCGGTCTATAAGAAACATAACCAGTTTACAGATATTACAGAAAATGAAAAATCTTCAGCAAACAGACTGAGATTTGAAGCTAGGACCTTCAAACTCTAGCGGGATGCTCTAACCAACTGATCAGCAAATGGGTCACTGGTGGTTAACCCAGGCCAGTTCTGCCACACAGCTATATATACAAGGCTTATACAATCGTTTACAGTAGCACACAACAAATATATCTGACATCTAGACAAAGTCCTGTTCAATACTTTGTGATACTTTGTCGTCCTAAGAAGTTTAGTTTGGTTTGTTTGTGTTTCACGTCCTTAATTATATATATATATAATTAACAGCTATGGTTATTTAAGGACGTGCCAACTTTTGGTGATGGAGGAAAACTGGAGTGCCTGGAGAAAAAGTACCGACCTGTGGCCAGTACCTGGTGACTGCCATATGTCGGTCACAAACCCCTGACCCAGTATTGGAGGGCTAGTGATTGCAGACAGTCAGACACATTAACCAATGACAACCTTTGCCTGTAGGGGTAGGGCGATTACCCGGTATATAGTGTGGCACAAAACCTGATTTTTATACGCTTCATTCAGCTATCCCAGGAGGCAATTCTATACAATATTTTACAAATGTAGGAGTCTGGAGAAAGTATGTAAAATACGACCAATACCAAGTTAAGCAAAAACATACGAATGGACAGAGTGTAAGTGTAAGTCCCCTTCAAGTGACAGCAGTATATAAGAAACATATATTTGTTTACATTTAGGACTTTCAAACTATTCCATTTGTTCTATACCATAAACACCAGATCATAGTAATTTATACAATAAACGTGCACAGAAACGAGAAATGTTATCTTGTGTCACAGCAGTATAATGCATATACATGTACAACACATCCCAGCAGTACATATATATATTTATACGTAACAGCGGTATATATTCAAAAGACACTTGTCGGGTCTAATTACCCGTTATGTGAATACAAGAAATATCTATTGGGTAACAGCTGTATACAAAAAAACAAGCATCACAACACAGCATTAAACACAAATATAAATATTTTAACTAATTTTACAACAGTTCATAAAAGAAAGAAGTACATGTATACACTTACCTGTGTAAGTCAGAATGATACATCTGATAATGGATATTTCCAGAACTGACAAGTTCAGTTTCTGAACAGAACGCACAAAACTGAATAACGTTGTGATGAATGTCTCGTCCCACAGTTTAAAGAGTTCTCGTATGTGATAACAGTTTCCTTTTAAATTTGTTGTGATTTCCAAGTCAGCATTTATAAACCTATAAAATCCCCAGAACCAGAACTCGAACCTTGAACCTGGAAAAAACATTTTCTTTAATAATGATACATGTACCATAGTTTGTTTTTATCAAGAATAAAATAGTGCTGTCACATACACGTATATCAATGCGACAACAGTATCCTAAATTTACTGTAATTGTTAAGTTGCATTATTTTGCAAGATACATCATTTCAGAATATCTTTTGAAAATTTATTTAGGAACTTCATGACAAGGGATTTTCATACACTTGACCGCTTTTCTTGTTCATTTTAATGTAAGTGCAAATTCAACATGTCTGCCGACTTACACTTGGTCTAATTTCAATTGAGTTCTTACAAATACATCATCAATTTCTGGAGTGCTTATGTGAAAACGGGCCCTGGCTACAAGTAAGCGATTTACAGTAGAAAACACACAGAAATAACTGAACATTGGTAGCGACTGCACTAAAGAATATTTTAAATATTTAATTTTTATTTACCTAAAAGTATGCTATATTTACTCATAAGTTCACAAACCAAGCTTCATAAAGAGATGAAAAAGTTGTTTGAATGAGCAGAATCATTGACCAAAAACTTGGGGACAATGATCTTAGTTTAATATGCAATTGCAAGGGGTCACTCACTTTTGACAAGTGCTGCCTGATCATCCAGTGACAGCTCAGAGAACCCAGGAATGTTTTTTGCGAATCCGATATACTTTGTAATCCCATTTTCCATGGTTGTAGCAATGTTACTCATCATCTCCAGTCGATTATCAAGGTCAATTCCCGTCGTATCGTAGAAAGTACGGTGTTCTTCTTTTGAAATACCAGACAAATCTCCGAATAACTCTTTTTTTGCCATGAACTCATCCTGTAGAAATAGCATACAATGTCATAGAACTTCACACAAAACTATTATTATTCAGATTAATTTAAAGACTTGAAATCTTCCTATTCAACCATTACATCGTCCTAGGATCTGATGGTTATGAAGAAATAGAAACAAACGGGCCACTCTTGGGTTATTTTATCCCTTGGGCCATTTTTCTTTTAAAATCTGGAAACTGTAAAATTGTAATATATGCAATTTTTAACTGACTTCATTCTACATTTTAAAATGTAAAGTATCGATATTTTCCACAATACCAACCTCTTTTGAGGTTTTAAAACAATGGTCAGGGGATAACGGTTGAATAATTCCCAGGTATATATAAGCAGTTCCAACTTTGAGAAACACAGCAAATGTTGGTACATTACATTTGCAGTGATTTTTTGCTCAGTTTTACTGCCGAATACAGGTTATTTTCCCATGCTAAAATGTGCCTTATTTCCCCCAAAATGACCAAACACTGAGGAATATATTCCTAAATTCAATACAACTAATGCTTTATTTTTTCCAATGCATAATGGAACAGACTGTTTAGGTAACAAACACTGAATTGAATATTCCATTGTTTCAATGTTAATGTGATTCTCTGCATGCTTACATAATATTTCTGAGTCTTCTTTATGATATCATTGTCCTCATCCAGCCAAACCTGCCACAGGGGACCATACATTTCCTCCTGGGCTTTGTCCATCTTTGCCAGCAAGCCTTCTATCTCTTCATCACAGAATGCTTCCTGTTTTATTCTCACGGGTGAGGATTCACGCAATGCTGGTATGTCATCTGAACTAACAGGCACTTGAACAGGTGACAGCCTGGGTGATGGCCCGTGTGTGCTCTCCGTAACTGGTTCCTGCTTTTGGAGTTGCTTAATTTCACGGATATCCTTTGTACGTTTTTCGTGTGTGTATCTTCCTGTTTTGATCGCTAGAAAAAGTTAATCAAATAAAAATTTCATTAATGGATGCAAAAAAGTATCTATTAAACACTACACTTAACTTCTGGCAAAGCTATATATAGTCATGCCAGAAAAACGAAGTTCCAAGCACTTATTTACAGTGTTTGGCAGTGGAACAGGGATATTTAAGGAAATGTTAATTTTTTTGCACTAGTTTTTATAATAATAGTTCTATTCTGGCCTAGGGGTGCATCAATACATATATAATTGTACATCAATACATGTCATCTATGTAAAATCACATAAGCTCTACAGAATATTTGCATTCAGGCTATAGAATCTAACAACATTTTTTTATAGGAATATAATTTGTAGAATCAGTCAAACAAATTTTGAAGTATCTTCTTTTTGCAACTTATTTTACAGATACGTGAATTTGAATTTCTTGCATTATCAAACATCTTAAAAGCAAATGACAACTTAATGTTTTAAACCATTGTCATCACCATTTGAAACTTTTCATCATGATGATGACAATCGTGTAAAACATGACATGTACATGTAGGTCCAGATCACAGACCACCTACATGTACATGTCAATATTTCCATAAAGTCTCCATAAAGAATAACCAAAACAATTTAAGGTTGACAGCATCTGAACCCCTTACACCGAGTGTGAGGGCGTCAGAACACAGAATATAAAATAAAATGAACTGTATACAGGCAAAACCTTTTTGAAATTATGGTTTGTATACATTTTATAATTGTAGTTCCTCTTTACCCTTGAAAAGTCCTAGATGTGAATAGACAAAAGATGTTTTTTAAGCTTACACATACTTGCCAACCTTTTGAAACTTCAATAGGGGAGATTCTGCATGTTCAAAATTGAAAACCATAAATAAAAGTGTGTGTATATACAATGTACCTATTAGAAAGAAAATAATAATAAGTTGTTCTGTCAAATTAAGTCATTCCATCTTAGAATACAGGAATGGCTATAAGATTTACTGTTTGGAAAAGAATTGTAAGGGCCCATAATTCGGAGTCTGCCACCTAAATAGGACCAGCTGGCAATTATGTATACAGCAAACAGTTTTGTTACATTATTTCTTCGTTTTTACCTTCTTTTGACATTCCTACAGTAAGGCACTTTTTGTAACGGCACTTGGGACAACTGTTTCTTCGGCCAGGCTCTATGATACATTCCCTGCCTGCTAGACCTTGACATCTATAGTCAGTCTTCCTCTTGAGACTTCTACGGAAAAATCCCTGAAATTTTGAACAGTTCGTGCATATACACACAAAATGTATGTAAATAGATCTGAAAACTTCCTTAAAAATATATGAAAATAGAAATGATGAGCAACAACGCCACTGAATCCGGTACAAAATGTAATGTTTGATTTACATCCTACATTCATTTGCTCTGCTTTCCCTGATGAGCACTGTTGAATACCATTTAGGTATCCATCCCAGGATCCCTACCGCCACTATGGAACCGACTTCCTTGCTGGGACGTTGGATCTCCACCCCCCAGTCGTTAAAAATAGATGTTTCAAAGATCATAAGATAGAGACATGAGGTAGTAGCGACCATTTTGGTTAATTTTCATGCATAAATATAGTGTCAAGTACAATGTAAATATTTTGGTGCACCTTTCTGTTAAAAATACATGAGATGAAAAATAAATCCAGCCATGAACTTTTCTGTAAAATTTCCAAGTCAGAGGTATTTAAGATAATACTAAATAACACATCACTGACCCTATAGGAATGGTATTATAAATTAAATATAATGTATGACAAAACCTTACGTAAATTTCCAAATCAGAGGTATCAATATAACAGAATACTTAATAACTCATCACTGACTCTATAGGGAAGGCAGATATATTTATGTACATAAAACATAAGACAAAACCTAACGCAGATTTCCAATCACTCACCTTACAAGCTTCACAAGTGTTGACCCCATAATGGAATCCTGAAGCTTTCTCACCACACACGCGACATGGAGGCAACATCGGCGTGGATGTCTTTGATGTTACCGTATGGCTGACAGAGTCTGGGCTTGGCTGGCCACCCTGTCGCCCGTCATAGTTGGCCTTTGTCTGGTCTGGTGAGGGAGGGCTGTTGCTGTTGTAATCCTTCTTGATGGGGGGTGTAAACATTGTGGTGTGGGGGCTCTGCTGGCTACTTGTATCACTGTATGGTGGACTGACGTGGCTGCGACTGCTGTCACATTCATCATAACAGTAAGGTGAGGTACTGCTTGTACACATCCCCTCGGTATTGCTCTGATCACAAATTCTTTCTATTTTAATGACGTCTTTTTCAAAATGAGGTTTGTTTGACAAATCACGTTTCTGCACATCAGCCATCACTGATGAGGTGCTTTCTGAAGGGGTATCGAAGTAGTTCGTTGTTGACATTTCCCTTTTTAGCTTCAACAGATAGCGTTCATCATTTTTCTCCGATCTCTTGATAATGCATTCCTGAGAAGAGAAACCAGTCCATCAATGAATCGATACAGAAATTCCTTTTACGACTTTGATGGCCACCATTACCGGTATTAAACATATATGCATGAGTAAAGCACAGAAGACATTTTTTTTCATTTCAAATGTCTTTATATAGATATATGTCACCAAAGGTCACAGCTCAAACTGTTAATTACAATGCCAATCAATATTTTATTGCAATTTTAAGTTCAAAAGGTCAACATATCGTTATCAAAGGTTATATTGTTCATCAATAAATTGATTAATATAAATTTCATACATATAACTGCGATCTGAAGTTTTACCATTTAGGTTAATACAAATATATATATATGTGCTGGCACTGGAGGCAGGGTATGTTGATGTAATTGCCTTCTTGTGATAGCTGAATTTTTTGAGAACTACCTAACTGAAATACCATGCCGATCGAAGGCACACAGCACAGCATTCCACTCGGTCACATTATACTGACAACAAGTAAAACCAGATGTTGCAATAACCTTAAATGCTGAATGTTAATAAGCAGAGAATAAAAACTACAATTTCAATCAATATTTGATACCTCCTTATTACATACAAACATATTTTATAACATAGAGACATACAATGTTACTGATGCAAAGGTCAATAAAAAAATCGCACAAGATCACAATTGGGTCAAATTGTTAATAAATATTACTTTATTTTCATATTTTGACATAACAATCAAAAGTTATACTATCAGATACATATATATTTGTCACCATGCAATGTATATGAATACAGATTTAAAATCCCAAGATGGCCACTGATGGGAACATTAAATTTCAGGTCCAGGGTAAAAATTGAATTTGAGCTGGAGTGATATACTATACACTGTAATCGGTCGCAACCAGTTATCGTAAAAAAAAATTCTCAGAAATATTTTGAAATATACTTATAGCCTTAAACTGAAAATTTGCATAGTGATTCCTGAATTCATTTTCTTGTTGTTGTTTTTTCAGTCAGATTTGCAGACACTCATTAAACAACAAACTGTGTTTTATAGAAAATATGTGAAGACTGCGCTTGTCAACAAAAATATTGAGCTCCCAATTACAAGGCTTAGATAGTGGTTTGAAAATTTACTTTCCGGGGGATCCCAAATACAAATATAGGGTCATATTTATATCTGGATGGAATAAATATTGATGTTAGCATGCATGGATGCTTACATACAGACTGTATTACAGTTCTATCACTGTTATGTACGTCTTTGACAGTCTTCTCAAATTCAGGAAAATGCACACGCACAAACTAATAGCACAAATGCATGATAACTGCCTAAATTGGTCCTAAACTAGTCTCTACAGCGGCAGATCCAGATGCACACATCCTGAAAGCCTTGGATTAACACAATGCTTAATTCTAAATCCCCCCCCCCCCGGATTGGTATCTGGATCCACCACAGCAGTATATATATGATATATGTACATAATGTATTAAACTTATTATTTCGTAACAATTACAAAACATCGACAAATAACAGAACTAGAACAATGCTCTCTCATATGGCTTGACGTAAGCATGACTAGTGTGACTGTCACTAGGCTTACGGTGTTTAGTAATTATACTGTAACTGTCTAAAATTAAATGTCACCATTTATTCGATTTACGTCCTTTACTCCTAGTCAGTGTTGGTGCGAAGTTGTGTAGGTTTCTAATATGGAATAACGTTAAAAAGGTGGACATCCAAATATATCAAGATATATAATTGTTGGTGGAAAGTAGAGTAACAATCGGTCAGTAATTGGGTCATCGTTATACTCCCTGGTGAATTTTCAGGACAAATGTGACACGAACTTTCTGAAATTCTGTGTTAGTTGTCAACAGTTTACAAATGGAATATACCTCAATAAAATTACGACGTTAATAACTCACTTTATCAAAATATTTCGGACATTAAATATTTACCTGTTTCAAGGAGTACAACAAGGCTGAAAACAACTATTATTTTCTGTTGGACCAGAGACCTAAAGTTCTATGGTTGGACGAATCAGTTCGACTATCGACGACCTACTTTGCTTGACAAGTGTAAACATACCTGTTCACACAGGAGAGTCGCTTTCAGGGGAGATAATAAACGTTAGCATCATACTGTATGTAGATCCTAAGTTACATCATAGACCTAATTAGGTCTCTGGTTACATTTAGCCATGGCCAGTGGATTATATATATATGTGATAAATAATGTGAATTATCCTGACAACCCCGTATTATGTCACGTATATATCTCTTAAGTGAAAATTTCATTTATAATCCGATTTTCAACAGAAAAAAATATCAGAAAAATGATCAAAGAAAGAAAACATTAGAATACAATCAATGAATGGGAGGGATTTAGCTGTCCTCACTCAAGATTCTCACACTGCAGTGGAGTAGTTCGGGAGAGGTTTAGCTTTCCTCACGCACGATTCTCACACTGTAGTGGAATAGCTCGGTAGGGGCTTAGCTGTCCTCACCTACGATTCTCACACTACAGTGGAGTAGTTGGGAGGGGTTTAGCTATTCTCACTCACGATTCTCACACTGCAGTGGAGTAGCTCAGGAGGGGTTTATATTTCCTCACTTACGATTCTCACACAACAGTGGAGTAGCTTGGAAGGGGTTTAAATTTCCTCACTCACGATTCTCACACAGTACTGTGGAGTACCTCGGGAGGGATTTAGCTTTCCTCACTCACAATTCCCACACAACAGTGGAGTAGCTCGGGAGGGGTTTAGCTTTCCTCACTCACAATTCTCTCACTTCAGTGAAGGAGCTCCGTATGGGTTCAGCTGTCCTTACTCACAATTCTCACACTACACTGAAGGAGCCCGGTTGGGTTCAGCTTTCCTCACTCACGATTTTCATACTGCAGTGGAGTAGCTGGGAGGGGTTCAACTGTTCTCACTCACGATTCTCACATGCAGTAGAGTAGCTCGGGAGAGGTTTAGATTTCCTCACAGTGTAGCTCGAGAGGGGTTCAGCTGTCCTTACTCACAATTCTCTCACTGCAGTGGAGTAGCTCGGGAGGGGTTTAACTGTTCTCACTCACGATTCTCACACTACATTGAAGGAACTCGGGAGAGGTTTAGCTTTCCGCACAACAGTGGAGTGTAGCTCGAGAGGGGTTCAGCTGTCCTTACTCACAATTCTCACTCTGCAGTGAAGGAGCTCGAGAGGGGTTCAACTGTTCTCACTCACAATTCTTACTCTACAGTGAATGAGCTCGAGAGGGGTTCAGCTGTCCTTACTTACAATTCTCACTCTGCAGTGAAGGAGCTCGGGAGAGGTTTAGCTTTCCGCACAACAGTGGAGTGTAGCTCGAGAGGGGTTCAGCTGTCCTTACTCACAATTCTCACTCTGCAGCGAAGGAGCTCGGGAGGGGTTCAACTGTTCTCACTCACGATTCTCACACTGCAGTGGAGTAGCTCGGGAGGGGTTCAACTGTTCTCACTCACGATTCTCACAATACAGGAATTCAGTTCAAGATGGTTTAGCTGTCCTCACTCACGATTCTCACACTGCAGTGGGGTAGCTCTGGAGGGATTTAGCTTTCCCCACTCACGATTCTCACATAACAGCTGGGGATGGGTTTAGCTGTCCTCGGTCAGGATAATCACACAAACTGTGATGGTGCTCGATTTCAAGGAAATCAGTTCTCAACATTTAGGAGATTCTCACACTACTGCAATAGAGCTCGGGAGTGGTTCAGCTGGCATCACTCACGATGGTATTATTCAACAGTTTGGTTTATTTTCTATGTATTGGGTCGTAGCGATAAGTTACTCAATTAAGTTTACACGATGGAGAACGTTAGACTTAAGCATTAGACAACACACACACATTGTGATCAACAATCCCTCAGCGATATGTAATCGGTCATACAGGTGTGTCCATACATAAGTGTGAGAAGATTTCGATTTGGTTTGATTAGACTGACGTATTAAGGACGTATATAAGGTAACAACAGGGCTACAGGACCACAACGCAAAAACTAGGTGAGAAGTAAATTAAGTGGCAGTCCGAGAGAAACACGTGAAAACAACAGATAAGAAAAAATGAAAAGAAATTTAATGAGAACAACTCATTTTTTTTATTTATTTTTTATGTTCACTAAATGGAGGACATAGAAAAAAAATCCCCCAATAAGTCGCCTCATACGATCAGTCAGTGGATACAGCAGGTTATTCTTCACCTCACCTGGAAGATCGTCCAATGATAATGACAATTGTTTTATTCTTATAAACAATACAGTGAAGAAAATACCGTATAACGTAGTACTACATCATATAGACATATATACTGTTGATGATCTGTTCCAAACAAGTCAACCCCACATACAAAAAAGTAGTTTATTTATTTTACCATTTCTTGAGAATGTGAATGACATATCTTCCAGTTCTTACTTTAAATAACACTTAATACACTGTAAAAGCATACACCAGATGTTTGATTTTAAATTGAACACATACATTTTTCCCTATTCATAATGTATAACTTCACCCGTTGGGGCTGAGCCGAGTTATGTAAGATATTACAGAATGTCCTAAAAACGCTTAAAAAACGAGTCTCGTGCAAGTCTACGATAAATCAAATTACTTATAAAATTAATTCCTATGAGAAGACATTTCTAATAGTTAAACTTATATAAACAATGTACCATGAACTTGTATCCACACAGTGTAAATACAGGCGACAGATTAGCAGGGAGGAACGACCGTAATACACAGGTCAAATGTGTGCTAATCGATTTTCGTATGAACCTCATCTGAGGTCACTATAGTTTTAATATGTAAGTGTCACCCATACGCTCTATAGATTAAATCTTAGTCATCAAATCATATTTATATATAATGATAGTTTAAAATATTTAAAATATGATAACCATCAATTCATATAAATTCATGAATAATAATATTGCTGATGAATATTTCTCACCTGTGAGGTTAATTCCTCGGTACATGAAAGAAGATCCTCGACCCAATCACCCGTCATAATCACTAGTAACTCTTTACTCGTGTTTCTCGTCTGATATTGTCGTCTGCCCACGCGACATTATAGTGTTATAATGATCATCATATCTCCTAACAATTCTGTTTGTGGTTAATAGGACGTTTAGGGGTTTTGTTTTGTTTTCGTCTGTTTGGTCACGTCCACAAATATTGCACTCGGAATGTTTATTTACAAAGAGTACGGCCGATGTGTATACATAGCGGAACATGTATACACAGAAGATATATAAAAGAGATATTTGCATGATAATTTTCATTTTTTTGTATTTATTTACATGATTTTGAGACGATAATCATACTCGTGCCATTTATAAACATATATTACTCGGTCCCCCTATCTGGCCCCGGAACTTGTCTCAGTGCGTTTATATGTGAAAAATGACTAAGAAAACATTTCAGTGAGAAGCACCAAGTGCCCCAGTATGTGAATACATTGCAACAGGATGTGAAAGTTATTTCTCGGTTTGATTGCCCTCAATTGTATGAATTGCAATTTTTCCGTGTATAAGCTGTTAACAATGAGCGACTTTAGTAATTTAGATCACATACTCAGCTTTTCTCAGAACTGATCATATATCAAATTTAACAAGCTAGTTAGTATTTCTAAATTTCAAATGTACGTCTATGTTGAAAAATTGTAAGGATACTGATGTTTTTAGCCTTGTTAGCTTAACGATTGACTAACTGTAATTTTTAGTTTTTTTAGTTAAAAGATTTTAGAATCTACACGTATTTTCTATTTCCTATATATAAAATATTTTTATTTCATTAAAAGTGCAGATCCAACATTTTTTTCCTGGTATTTAAAACAATTGCAAAAACATTTTAACCCGCTTAGCCTGTGAACCATACGCACCTATACCTGTGAAAGCTTCACATGTTGATCACGTGATGCTTCGTACACGTCATACACACAGCAACTTACATTCTTTTTACTTCATTTATAATAAGTCTGTCAGATTTACGTCAACAAATGGGGTTGTCAACACTTATGATGCTTCTTCTCGTTCGTTTCCTATGGAAAGGCGTTGTAAATTAAATGTTTGTTCGTAATACCAAAAAATATTTGGACTAGGATTTTTAAAATAAAATTCAAAATTCAATTTTTTTTATTGCACATTTGTAACTACAAGGTAGTTGGAAGGAAAAATAGAACCAGAGGCCCATGGGCCTTAACGGTCACCTGAGTTATGTAAAATCTGATTTTATCGATGTTGCAAAATGAAAAAGAAATCATTTTGTAACAAAGGTAACTTGAACTACATGTAATGCAAAAGTAGTGTATAGGATCTGGGTAGTATATGTACTATGTACAAATATTGGTTCTGCCAGTCAGCTGAATTATGGTAAAGCATCTTAAGACCCTTCCATCTATGAAGAGTATTTGATTCTACCATATGTGGATATTGAGAAGAAGATTTTTGAAATTTTAGTCAATTTGACCCTTTTTGGCCCCGCCCCTCAGGCTCCTGGGGGATGGGGACCATATAATTTACAATTAAACTATAGTAAAGTTTACCCCCTCCCCACGGGGAAACGTGAGACCACAGGGTCATGAAATTCACAAGTTTGGTGAAGCACCTTAAGACCCTTCCATCTATGAAGAGTATTTGATTCTACAATATCTGGGTCTTGAGAAGATTTTTTTTGAAATTTTAATCAATCTGACCTTTTTTAGCCCCGCCCATCAGCCCCTGGGGTCAGTCAGGGCTGATATGCGCATACCATCAAACTGCTATTTAATACTGATAATGCTAACTAAGTTTGAAATAATTCCAATGGAAATTAAACAAATGCTGGTCCAAAATGTGATTTCCCTATATAAACTATAGTAAAGTTTACCCCCTCCCCAGGGGGAATCGTGAGACCCCAGGGTCATGAAACTCACTATTTTGGTAAAGCACATTGGCGGTGAAGAGTATTTGATTCTACCATATCTGGATCTGGATAAGAAGATTTTTGAAATTTTAATCAATCTAACCCTTTTTGGCCCCGATATCATTCACAATTTTGGTTGACCTTTGGCCATGAAAGGTTTCTGCAAAATTTCATTGAAATTGGTTCAGGGGTTTTGGAGAATAAGTTGAAAATGTAAATTGTGTACGGACGGACGACGCACGACGCACGACGGCCAGACAAAAGGCGATCGCAATATTTCACTTGAGACTTGTCTCAGGTGACCTAAAAACACACTTAAATACATACATAGACATGTACATGTAGAAAGTGATTGCCTATATTTATAATACACATTAACATGAACAAAATTAACATAGCTTCAAATAGAAAATTTGATTTTAACATTTTTAGATGCAAAGTCCATACCTTATACTGTCAGCAAGCCCACTCTCCTCAGTTCTAGATATTGTTTAATGAATAAGCAAGAGTCCAGTACATTGAGTTGATTGTAAATAATATTGAGGTCACATAATTGGTATCTAAGGTAACATCATTGTGATTAGGAATGCATTTTTGGAAATATTCTTTTCTGGCAGATTCATTAAGGGAACAGTGAAAAAAGAAGTGTACTTCATTTTGCTAACCCACCACATTTTTTACAGGGTCTCTGCATGGTCTCTTGGTATACTTTTGAGACGCCCCATGGCTAGCTCCAGCTTGTGTTCACATAAACGAAATTAAGTAAACATTTCCCTTAAATTACTACTGTTAATGTTAAGGTATTTTTCAGGGACATACTCCATCTTTAAGTCTTATACATGAATAATTTATTGCTCTCGTTTATTTTTTTTTAGTTTATTAAAGAATCTTATCTCATATTTCTTTTTTATATTTTGCTTGGTTTTAATTTTAAGTTGGTAATTACTGTACAATGCGTCAGGATCCTGTATAATTTGATGTAAATCATTTTCTTATGTCATATCATTAACATATGTGTTGGTGTCATTGAGTAATGGTACCCTACCCTAACGTTTTTAATGAGCATTGGCGAGTTGCATCACAGTTTTCCTTTCAGAATACATGATATTTCATGATATTTCTGTCTCTTTTACTAAAAAGATGTATTGTACTCAACGTTTTGAACTGGTAGATCAATGTGAGACACAGTGTAACGGTACACACGATTGTACAATTGATAAACAGGTACAGTGTATATTGTACAGCGAAACCTCGTGTTATACTGCCACCATTTGTCAAACATAACTATGGTGTTAAAAAGGGGTTTGATGAAAATATTTTGGAATACGTATCAAGGAAAATAGACTTTGAAATAACGAAAGTTTCCAATATCAGTTAAAGGTTGTTGAAAGGATGATAAAGAAAGCATATTAGCAGTACTGTTAATAGATAATTGTTTTATTAACGAAAGTTGACCAAAGTAACAAGATAAACAATTCAATTTAGTTTACATGTTTAGAATGATCACCTTTTCAAAAAAAAACCCCATAATATAGCTCATTAAACCTATGCAAATATCCTACTGCATGTTACTTCATGTAATCGTAAGAGGCAATTCATGCAGGATCCGCTTTACAGAGTGTCTTCAATGTCTCCTGCCTAGGATAATGAGAAACCAAAATTAATATGTTACCTCCATTACAATACTTGTTCGAGGTAAAGATTTTTTTCCCGAGAACTTGATACTTATTGGTATTTCACAATTCCTTTCAGTAAAATCTTCTTCCGTATTTAACCTAAACCGGTTACCCAGTGATAGCCCCGTGGTACATCTGTAAATACATTCAGTAGGCCGAGGTAATTCAACGCTTAAGCCAGCAACCCTGTATTTTAAAATCAGGCTAATGCATTAATCAAATATTTAGTGTGTTATGCATCAACGGGAAACATTCCTTTGACACCGCCAAAGTTATACAAATTTTAGCGTTCGTGCATGTTTTAAAAAATGGACAAGAGTTATCGGAATTTCACGTTCGATTTCCACGCGAAACATTGTTTCTTGTCAATTTCTCGACATGAATTGTTCATAAGGAGTATGAAACTATATTATAAATCATGAAGAATTTTGTGACAACGTTATACAAAAACTTCACTAAATTGTCCCTTCAACGTGTCAAAGAAACATCTGACGATAAGTTAACGGTCAGTTAAGGATGTACCTCCATGTGTGGAAAGTATGTTTGCATATGTGTATCATGCCGGAGGCGGTATTTTGGTGTATTTGTCTCATTGCGATAGTGCGAATCTAATGCCGAATTTATAGTGCTACATTGTACCTCTCTGAAATACCATGCCGAAGGCACAAAGCATAGCATTCCAACTCATCATATTATACTGACAACGAATATGGTGAACCCAGTCTTCCTCGCTTGGGCAAACGTTCACCATTAAGGTCAAAAGTGAGGTACTGCCAAGAAAGATGTTAGGACACAAAACGGTTGCTAGGAAGAAGGGAGAACATTTTAAGATCCCAAATGTTACAATGGGTGATGCATATTAACTTGGTGGCTTTTTTTGTGTCCCTAAGTAGAGGACCGAAAAGCGAAACGAAGCGTTAGAGATGAGCAGTAAGCGGTATAGAATTAGTGAGATTGATTGGACGATATATACGTACATGTAACGTTAGGTTAGACATGATACTGTAAGTATGAAAATGTCATGTGCATGGAAACCTACGTTTACTTTTAGCCTCGAACGATATCTGCATGAATGTATTGATAGTTCCTGTTCGTACTACTGTACATAACACACGCTCTGCTCTGTGACCCAAGGACCTACTCTTTATGTATTAGTGACACTTTGAATTATTATCTTATTTAAAATGACTGAACTGGCAATGTTAAAACCGGGTCAACGCCGTCCGTTTAACATTATAGATAAACAAATGTGTATTCTATATGGGCAGTGTTCACATGACGCTCAGTGTGCTGGGTAGTAAAATGGTTTCCATGAAATTCTCAGTTGGCTTTTTTATATTTTAACCAGATATATCGTTAAGACCGATTCATCATAGCCAAGTTTTTAAAGCCTAATATGCAGGTCAAATTCGGCATGTACAAAATGCATTGAGTAGAGCAGCATGAACTACATCATTGATGCAAGTATAATCTATCAAGCATTTATAGTAAGGTAACAGTGTACAGTAGAAATGGCCCGACTCTGATAAACAAGACACATGTCGAGGAAATGTAAACACAGCGGATTTACCCTACACAAAACATGTATACATGTATATATATTTGTAAACTGCATTTCATTTACAATACATATAAAGTACTGAGAAGTGTA